AGCACAACAAAGAAACACGTATGAATTCGGAGTTTATTTAACTATCTTATGGAGCTAAAATAGCTTCAACAAAAACCAAATTCTACATATCAACCTACTTATGAATTTGAAGCAATTCAATCAAATCAACAACAACTTGTGCAATAATTGAAGTAAATAAGAAAGAATCAATTCTCATTCATAAGGGATTATATATAAACATTTAAAACAAGAACATACACCCAAAAGAACACCAACCGTTATATTTTTTTCAGATTCTATTGCATGAACAAGTAACAAAAAAAAGTGATAAATTGGAAAAAAAACAACACTTGAACATAGAAACAACAAAAGAATTGAAAATTTAAAGGGTTGACTTCCGGATTAAGTCCGGAAGCCAATTTATTTGGGTACCTATAGAAGAAGAAGATGAAGAAATTGAAGAATGGAGCTCTCTGGTTCGTTCCCCCTCCGCCTCTGCTGCTATTCCTTGTCCAATTTATAGACGGGAGGAATTTTTTTCCGTTGGAGCGTTTTGAGTGAAGAGAGAGAACAAGGAGCCGTTGTTGACTTGATTTGGAGAGCAATTCATGGCCGAACGTTGAAGGAGAGGCGTTACTGCCGATTTGAATAGGTCGCTGCTCCTCTCCTGGTCTTGCGCTAGCTTCAATCGCAGGAAGCATTTTTTTCTTCTTGCGTGAGTTTGAATTGAGGGAAGGAGACTTGGGCTTATCTTTGTTTAATTGAGTTGTTGATGATGGGTTTGGCTCCGGTCCAAACTCAATCTTCTCTTTCCAAACTTGAGCTTCAATTTGGTCTTTTACTACAATTTATTCCAAAACAAATCGGATATTTGGTAACTTGGGTTAGGAAAAATAATAATATTAAAATAATACGGAGTAACATGTTAAAAAATGATTAAAAACAACTATTTTTGAATGGAATTAAAAGGTTTGTAATAATAGGAATTAAAATAAAACTAAGCTAAACAAATGAAAATTAAACAATAAAAATACTAAAAATGCCAAAAAGAGAATAAAAAATATTACCCCAAACCCGAGTTATCAAAAAAATTTGTTACAATTGCAACATGTTTTAGTGAAAGTTTAGTTCATCCAGACTTGTACCCCAATGTCTCTCCTATGAGGGATAAATGGTGTGCTTATTATTTGCACATTCCTGATATTTATAAAATTGGTATTATTTGTGATACTCGCTTTAAGATTGAAAATTTTAAAATTTTGATTGAGTATTACTAAACTTGTTTTTTAGATCAAAATAATTATTACTTCAACCATTTAATAGAATGGACAAAAGAAAGAGATAATGTTATTGATTTTTTTGAGGCTTTATTTAAAGAATTTTAAAGAATATACGGCAATGCATGGGAAGAAACAACTCCTCCTCCGCCCCAAAGCAAAAATAGATTTTAAAGGAATAGTCGGTGAGCTTTTGGCAAAAAAAGGTAAGCGTGGTTAGCTGATAACTCGGGTTTGGTTTGGTTCTTTTTATTCATTTTTAGGCATTTTGAATACTTTTAGAGTTTAATTTTTAGTAGTTTTGCGTAGTTTTATTTTAATTTTTATTTTTACAATCTCTTATTTTTCTTTCATACATAGTAGCTTTTTAATCATTTTTTTAACATTTTATTATTGTCTTCATTTTATTTTATTTTTCCTAACCCAAATTATCAGATATCATATTTTTAGGAGAAAAATGTAGAAAAAGGCCAAATCGGAGTTCAAGTTTGAAAGGAAGCAATCAAAATTGGGTTGAAGCCCAATCCATCATCAACAAAAAGAAGTGGCCCGTTCCTCTTTTGTCTTTTTGATGCGCACAAAAAAACGGAGACTTCTGCTTTGTTAGAATAATAGACCAACGCTAGAGGGGGGGTGAATAGCGTTTGATCGGAGAAATCGCAGGAATTAAAAAATTAAGAGAGAAGTAAAGAGAAGAGTAAAAGGCACACCGAATTTTACCCTGGTTCACCACAACTTGTGGCTAATCCAGCCTCCCGAGAGACTCTCTCGAGCTACACTACTAACTTGTTAAGCTTACGGGTGCTTAACAAACCGTTACAACTTGAGAGTTCGAGTCACACGAACCTCAACGAATCCTTCAAAGGAAACAGACCTTCCTTTGAATCAACCGAGAGAGATACTATCTCTCAACGTGTCTAAGAACACAAGTA